AGCTGGCACCTTGTAAAATAGTTTTCTCATGGAATCCAGATCATAAGAAATGGCAACATGTTAAAATAAAATAAATGAATAGCCTAGTTGATAATGTACTTTTTTTTTTATTTAGAGTATTTTATTTAGTATTATACTGAACTGACCAACACTTTCAGTGATTATGAAAGGAGAGCTCTTCGTGTGATTCTGTCGCAAACTGAGAAGTTTGTTTTTCAAGGCACTTTGTGACTTTTCTTACTTCATACACAAAAAAAGCAAAACGTTGACAATTTGATTTCTTGATGATTTGATATTTTCTAATAGTAATTTTATAATTTCAAAATATAAAGCAAAAAGTGGAAATGAATGACTAATAAGCCAATAAGTGCTCTTCTGCTGCCATCTACTGGTTATAGTGGTAATTTGATGTCTTTTATTTATTTATTTTACATACGTGTTTACAACATTCACATCATCCAAACGTACCGAACTCTATCGAATCTGGGTGCGCACCAAAAGTGTGAAAGCACCCGGCCTTAGTCGCAGTCTGGAGCCATGCGATGTCAGCAACTCCCATTGATAAACCCTTATCTGCTACTGCAACATATAAAAATCCCAAAGAATCACTGGTCACCGGTCTACACAGGTTTTTTTGTTTGTTTCTGCTTTCAACCAGAACATTTTCACACATTACCACATTGCTCTCAGAACACTCACATTCCCCGCTCTCATATTAATTATTTCCCGCTGGAGTTCCCTCACTTCTCTTGGTATCGATCTCCTCTGCTAGTTCTGAGGTTTGGTACATTAAGATTTTTCTAACGTGATGTACATTATCGAACCTCTAGACATGTTTCTTTCGCTCCTATTGCATGGGAGCATCTCTGATGAGATTGTCGCCCACGCGGGAAGCCTTGCTTTCTGCGTTGCAGGAGTGGCACAATATATGTGACTGACAGCTTTGTAGAGGCGCTGCTCTGTGTACTGAGCGCTTGAGTGGAATGCAATGAGAAATCTGTCTGTTTGGGACTCTGCCCGGCCGAAAATGTGTCACTGACATCACTGCCAGTTTTTTTTTGAAGGCCAGCCTCTGTCACTTTTTCTCCATGGCTCTATTTGTCACCTCTCTTTTCACAAAGGCTCTTAGAAACGTTAAAACCTCTTGATCTGGAATATGGGGTTTTAAAGACCGCGGACTATTTAGAATATTTAGAGTTGGAGATATAACATTTTTTAGTATATTAAAGGGGTCATATGACGTTCTTTAAATATAAAAAAACGTACTTACAGGCTGTGAGTCAGAAGCGCCAGACTGTCCTTGCAAAGTTGGAACTGCCCCGCTTTATAGAAACAGACACCGGCATTGTAGGCTACTCTCAGAGGAAACAGTCCTCATCCTCCGCAAAATGCGCTATCCAGTCAGAGTTATATTAAAAATTGTCTTTGATCTTTCAAGCTGTTTCATTTCACTCAGCGGGTGTTGCATGCATCAGTCCAAAAGAAGTTAAATAAAATGTGCCCATCCATAAAAAAAAAAAAGTGTCTCACACGGCTCCGGGGGGGGAACAAAGGCTTCCTGTAGCGAATCAATGCGTTTTTGTAAGAAAAATATCCATATTCAAAACGTAATAATCACTTTAATGTAGCTTGCGCTCACTGTTGTACACTGGAAGCAGTTCCGGGTGGATGACGTATGGAGGTCGGCTTTAGCTTGTAACACTCCAAAGAGAAAGGAAAAATTGAAATCGCATATGACCCCTTTAATTTAGCTTTTTTGAGTGTTTTGTTTTTAACAAAAAAATTGCGTAAAGTGACGCAGTTAGTTTTGCACTGATGAAACATGATTTAATTATTTGTTGTAAATAATTTGATCTTTTAGTTTGCATCTTTCAAGTTCCAACTAAGACACATTATTTTTGTGTGTGTAATTTAAACATTTCTAAACAAATATGTGTTTTTTTCCAAGCTATTTTTAGATTTTACAGTATATTAGTATTATTATAATGGCCTGTTTTATTGATTTGTTTAATTGTGATAGTTTGAATAATAATAATAAAATAAAATAAAAATCTTATTTAAAAAAAATATTATTATTAATATTACTATTATTATTTTGAATAATAATAAAAATTATTATTATTATTGTATAGTTATATTGAATGGAGAAAAACTGATTTTCCTTATTTTTTCTTTGATCATATGCCTGCTAAAGTATTTAGTTCACTTGATTATCAAAAAAAAAGGCGGTGCCATATAATTAAATTAAATATTTTAATTAACATGCAATAAAAATGTATCTAATTAAACATTTTTGTTATGGTTGGTCAGCATTTTTTATATTTGTTGTGATTAACTGTTAACATAAACATTGGTCATATCTCTGCATCAGATGGGGAATTCTCTCCCAATATAACACACATTAACATACAAGTCTAATGATACTCTCTCATCTGTGATGCAGGGTTCTTCCCTGTTTCCCAAAACAGTCGTCCTAATTGGGGGTGTAGTATCATTTCAGAGCTCAGGGGACCTGCGGGAACCAAGCTGATGAAGCTTTAACACAGTACTGGGCTCTCAGCCCGTAATGAGGGAGACGCCTTTGAAATGAAAACAGTGTCAGTCTTGTACTCAATACTGTGAACAAATTACATTAATTGTGTTGTTGTGGCTGCCACCGTAACTATATGGGGAGTGTGAGTGGGTCACAAGCTTATACTGCAAAATCAGCATCATCTTAATCAGTATTTTGTGTTTTTTTTTCCAGTTTATTTTTCCTACCCAACTGTGTAAATTGTATTAGACCTCATTAAATGATGTCACATTTATGCTTAATACAAGAATTTTTTTTTTTTTAAGAAAAATAGGCTTAATTCAAGTTACATTTTTTAAAGTCTTTTTTAATGCAGTTTTGCTGTCACATCAATTTAATGAATCTTTGGTGAATAAAAGAATACCAGACTTTTGAATGGTGTACAAGAAAATGATTTTTTTTTTCAGTGTAGCAGCCAGTATCTTTTACCCTGATCTGAGACCATTATTGGTTCACATAATGAGGAAGTTGTGAATCTCCTTGATGTAAGGGAATGACTTTCAAAAGCACAAGTATTATAGATTTGTGGAATCTGAAAAGAGGCCAGTTGTGTTGTGATTTTTTTCCTACTGCACGAGTACAGATAGATTTATCAGACACTATCAGCAGATGTTTTAATTGTGTGCAGCAGCCAGTAAGATCTATTAATAATGAGCCTCTGGCTAGAATCCATGCTGGCAACCTCTAAAGCTTTTGAAGTTATATTTTTGTTTCACAACAATGAACGGCATCCAAGAACTCTTCCAAGAGGTTCTAATTAGACTTTCTGAAGCTGTGAATTTAGGCCACAGAAACAGACCTGCTATTTTCCTTTTGTATAAGTTTGAAAATATTTATGATTGTTAGCACTTTAATATTGAAGTTTGTGAAAGCTATATTTGTGCCTCTAATAATTGTTTCCAAACAGGTTTTCCAAACATACTACAATACTACACTGTAAAAAAAATTCCGTAAAATTTACGGTAAAAAAACGGCAGCTGTGGTTGCCGGAATTTTACCGCGGTTTTTCACCGTATATAGTAGGGGAATTTACCGTTAACCATTTAACAGGTTTTTACTGTAGCATTTTTACAGTCTTTTACCGTTAAATTCATGGCCATTTTTTACAGTGTAGTGTGCTGCTTATACTGCACAGTGTACACTAAATACTGCCTACTAAAAATAGTTCGTGAAATGGTATGCATTGCACAGTATGCAAATGCTGATTTTGGAATAGCATACTAGCATACTAATTTTAATATTTCTACCATGTAAAAGATACGACTGAAATAGTAAGAGTAGTATGCTAGTGTGCTATTCTGAATTCAGCCATAGAACGTTCAGACGACTTACTGTATTTACCAAAATTGTCAATACTGTATATAGAGTATACTGCATGGAATACTGTATCCCACAGTGCAATGCGCTCAACTTGACCTTCCCTTTCCAGTGTGATGAATGAACCAGAAGTTTTAAACATGAAAAGTGATGAGGTCATGTGACACTGTAGCATACTACAGTTTTAAAGTCGGCATGACACGTAAGTTGAGATTGTCCTTAAAAAAATGTCTTGATGTAAAAGTCAAAATAAACATTCACATCAGCTTTTAGACCTACTGCAGTAACACAGATCACTCATTCACCTTTACCCCTGAGGGAAGGGGCGAAGTGGTGGCTTCGCTTCTCCCTTTGAAACCACAAACATAAGACACAGAGATAATGAAGACTAAGTTTCATGGACAGTCAATGAGTAAACACTTACTCCATGGTCCCCCCTCTCTGCCACCAGTAGTGATTTTCTACTAGCCTTGAAGTGGCTGTTTATTGTTCCTGATTATGACGGATGCTCTCGTAACCGTCCCAACCTGGCCGTCAGATACACCGCTGTAGTTTTTTGCTTCAGCCTTGGCTGTCACCGAGGCATTCTGGGAGCTGAAAACACATCTAATATACTGTTTTGTAAGAAAACTCTCACTCGTCTCATCCATTCGCCTTTGCTGCAGTAGATTCAGTTTCGAAAAACAGTCGAGAACGCGTCTCTGCATGCTTCCAAGCCCTGAAACGCCAACCTCGTCCCCCGCATAGTGGAAAATTACACCCCCACGCACACTTTCATGTACATAAAACTGTTATAGGTGAAATGAGGCACCATTCGGTGTAAATTAAGACACAACAGAATTATGAGACTCAATTAGCTTCTCATTTTTCACTCGAGGAATTCGTTTCTTGCTGGTTTTATGAAGGAATGCTCTAAATTACACAGATTTCTGTCAGAGTGAGGTCCTTTCGTTCTCCCCCGGAGGGTTGCTGCACTGATACACACGTCTCCCATGAAATCCCTGCTCTGAGGCAGTGCAAATGAGGCAGCACTAATACATTCTCCCTCGGCGGTGCAGAGACTATGTGTATGAGGGGGGAAAAGTTAATGCAGTTGCTTTTGTTTTTTGAGCAGGACCTCGGAAGCACAGGAGGACCTCCTCGCAACTGGAAGGGAATTGGGATCGCTATGGTGGTCATCCTGGGGGTCATGTCTCTGGTCTCCCTCTCAATTTTTCTGCTCACACCTGGTAAGACAGAGATCGAAGGAGTAAATGAATATAAATTGAATCAAATTTGAACCAAGGATGAAGAAAGAGAAATGTGAGATCAACTCAAATAAGTGAAGAAAGAGAAATGGGAAAACAACTGAAGATTATAGAGGATTATGTGAGCACCAGAGAGCTCATATATAAGACATCCATTCACAAACAAAAAGACAAGCAGAAACAAAGCAAGCAACACTCAAAATGTATTTATTTTTTTTGCTGCTTGCTCAGTTTAGCTTTAAAAATGAGTTGGCGCAACAAATATTTCTTTGTCTTTCTATAACAGAACTTCACTTAATCCATTTGCATTAATCCGACATTTGCTTAGTCTGACTACCTACACCATTTTTGTTTGTTTTTGTTCACTAAGCCTTTTTATTTCCCAGTATACTTTTGGGGAGACTGGAAAGGGAGAGTAAATTTTGAAATTACGTAAATATTTTATTTATTTTTGTGCAAGATGAGAAAAGGGAGACTTGTTTGTGCTTGATGATATGTTATGTTGTTATATCGAAGAAATTTTGTTATATTGTGAGTTGGGTACAAATGGCCAAAGCCAAGTTTTACCCACTTTTGCCAGTAGGCGAGTTTTCATTTTGGGCCCTGCTCACAACAGAACAGAAGCGCTTCTAGATCCCAACATAACAGAACATTAAACAATAATATGTTGTTCTCTTCCCCCCAAATTTAGTAAATAAAACCAGTTGGCTGCTTACTTTATTTATAACTAAATACACTTAATATTTTTCTAAAATCCTATATATTTCTTTGTGTAACGTTCTTGTTAAGGAAGAAAATACAGAGTGCAACCACTTTCCACAATTAATTACATTTTGTTTAATTATCATTTTTTTTACAGCCTACTTCATTCAGTAGCATCAAGATTTTGTTTAAGCAATCCTGTAGATTCTTGCTACAGACACTATTTTTCCTCAAGAGTTGTGGTTGTCCTTAACTGACTACCTGATCTTGTATTTCAGATGAGTCTCACCTCCTGCTGCTGTCTCGTCTCACTCTAGAGAACTTGGAGAGCGAAGATTTCCGAGTTCATGACCCATGTGCGACATGGCTAAATGGTGAAAACTCCTATTGTACAAACTGTGTTTAAGGGAATGGTTTAAGTTAATTCATTTAGGGCTCCTGGAGTGCTACAATTCATTGTCTTGTAATGCAACAGGAGACCAATGTGTTTTTCTGATAATGGTTAAAATGTTTGTTTTACGGCATTCATTCAGGCAGCCTTTCAATTCACATTCAGTTTTTATTATATAGCATGCAAGATTTGGATTACTGCATCCCAAACTCTATTATATTGATAACAGAATTTTTAAGGTGCTTGAATGGTATATTACTTCAACTTTAAAGTGTGCATTCTTACATGTTTTTGGGCTAATATTGCCCACAACACCTTTCTGTACGGAAGAGGAGTAGTTTGTGTAGTAAAATAGGAATGTGAAGTCAAGGTTGCCTTAGCAGTATTTCAATATAAGAATGATGTGTAATATTTTGATTTTAAAATACTGATTTATTATAAGTAAGTAATATATTTTTTTTAAATATTTTTGAGTCTCTTATGCTTACCAATGCTGCATTTATTTGATCAAAAATACAGTAATATTGTGAAATATTATTATCATTTAAAATAACTTATCTATTTTAATATATTTTGAAATACAATTTGTTTCTGTGAAGGCAAAGCTGAATTTTCAGCAGCCATTACTCCAGTCTTCAGTGTCACATGATGCTTTAGAAATAATTCTAATATGCTGATTTGGTCCTAAAGAAACATTTCTTATTGCTAGCAATGTTAAAAATGGTTGTGCTGTTTAATATAGTTTTTTAAAGTGTTATACATTGTTTTCTTTGACAAATAGAAAGTTAAAATGTACTGTTTATTTGAAATAGATTTTTTTATTAGTGTAAATGTCTTTACTGTCACTTTTGATCAATTGAATGCATCCTTGTTGGATAAAAATATTCATGGTACGGTAGTGTACTTTTCCATCATCAGCGAAGTACATACTCTTAGTGTTGTACTAAGAGTACATTCTGTTAGTTCAGAATATGCAAATGAGGGTGCAGTCAAGGTGCAGGTCAGTCTGGAGCTCAGCTATTGAATGCTGATCTTTGTGTTTTACAGAGAACGAGGTGTCACTTTGCACACGGGAGGGTCATGTTTTAATCCACAATCTCAGCACCAATCTCACTACCACGTTATTGGACAACAGCACCCTGGTGAGTGGATACATACACATGCATGCACTCACATAAAAGACAGCAACATAGTAAATAAAGGGCATGCAAACACACACATACAGTCTTCTCATCCCAAACCACCAGTGTAAAGCAGCTCTCTGGAGAATTACTACTCCCTTGAGGCATGTGAGCAGGACAAGACATACAACTCCATTAGCTCCATTCTCATGGAACCTGACAAATGGGTCACTTCATAGAAAGAGAGAGGGTGTGGACTGGTAGCTAAACGTCTTTGAAGAAAGAATCTGAATGCTAAAAAATGAGCAAAGAGGAAGAGAAAATAGCTTTTCGGCTTTAGAGGCTCGACAGTTAATGCTCTGTCTTTTATTCCCATTTTCTGCGCTTCTCGTCAGTTAATCCTATAGCATGCGTCTTCAAAGAGACTGTTTCAGCAGGGCCACCCTTTGAACGCTGTGGCTGGGTGGCACTGAGAAACATATATGGGTCATTGCCTCAGATGCTCAATGAAATGTTGTTGAGATGGCAGATACTTCTCCTCCCCACACTGTCAACACTGTTACTGTACACTCGTCACATTGGCTTTATGCCCCAACGACATCTACCCTCAATGCACTTACCTCATTCATGGTTTGCAGCTGATGGGTTTTTTTAGAGGGACGAATACGAGTTGAGCTCAATGCCGTATTGATTTCCACAGAAATGTTTCTAAAATAAATAAAAATTGTATTTGTGTTAATACATTTACAATGGAAGTCTATGGAGGTAGGCATTTTGCCAAGATAAATGTTAAAACACAAAATATAGAAGCCTCAATATAATAATATAATATAATATAATATAATATATAATATAATATAATGGAAGACTAGGGAGTAAGACTTTGCACCAAGATAAATGTGAATACACATAAAATATATAAGCCCCAAATAGTATAATTATTTAACTCATTGATAAACAATGTTTGCTTTTTTTTTACACAAATTATTGTCTGTGGTAACTTATAGCATGCTGTAGATGTGTGTGATAGAGCTTAATTTGTTTTGAATCCAAATTATTATTTTAAGGTGTTCTTTGTTTGGTGTTCGCTTTAGGATCTAAAGTCCATGAGGTTCCAGGTTTCAGCTGATAAGAAGTTCATCCTGATGGCTTATAATATCCACCATGTGAGTAATATGAACCGAAAAACATCAAGAAGCAGTCTTATTTCTGCGTCACCTGTCTGTTAGAGAAAAAGATGATTTCTTTATTGTTTTTCTTTATTGTTCTTTATTTCTTTATTGTTTTCTTTATTGTTTCTATCACCATGCAGAATCATATCCCAGTTGGACCACAGAGCGATTTTGAGAAAATCGCTTGATGTATGAGGTGTTGCCTATTGTATGTAAATATGATAAATCATGTCCCTTAAATGTCACATTTTATTATATTTAAGAACCTATATGCACTTTTATCATGCAAGAATTGCTACGAAAGGATCATCAGAAATGCTGTTTTTAATATCTTATTATCTAGACGAAGATATCACCATAATATACATTTTCGAAGAGGGTCAAAGTTGTAAATAATGCTTTACAAAAAAAAAATACTATTTTGGTACTTCAGTTTCACCTTTAATTCAGTGTGTTACTTGACATTTCTTAATTTAATTATTTGTGAAATTTACTAGCAATTTCTGAATCAAATTAGTTTTTTATCCTACTCAAATTTTTTTTGAAGTACATAGATTAACCCTAGCCCTAAAATAAAAACCTTGGATTTTACATGTGTAAATTAGACATTATTTAGTCCCCGTCATTTTCCTTGTAGGTATTACAAGATAGATCCCCACTATGTACTTTGGGCACATTTGGTCCACACAAAGATAGCAAAACCTGACAGATGCTGTGCACGTATTGATGGTACAAGCGCTGTTAGCTATTGTTACGAGAGTGAACTACATCTTTTATCTATTGGACTGGACAAAATCTTTTCAGACTAGCAGGAGAGACCACTTACGTTGTCCATAATTTCTGCAGCATGTTCATCACTGAACGCTGCTGTGATCAACAGCAAACGTGGAAGGAATAGAATATTCTGAGACAGCGGATATGGGGTGTATAGAAAGAAAGAAGGAGGGATACAGACAGGCAGTGGGAGAGATGGAAACAGAGAAGAGGAGCTGCTTGGTACTGAATTGTAATGAGCATCACACTGGGGCAAGCCTTTGTGATTACAGCAGGTTTTAGTAACAGGCTGAAAATAAACAACTTGTAGGCTATTTGTCTGAGCAACCACAGCAATCTGTAGTTCTTATCCTCCTGCTGAACCTCCACTTCAGAAAATAATCATCTCTGCAGCAGTGTTCTCTCTTCTCAAAGGAGGACGACGAAACAGGGCGTAGACATGAGTAACAAAGAAAAAAAACGGGGTAAAAAAGAGGGATAAACAGGCAATGAGTGAAAACACTGACAGTACAATCCATATTCTTTTTCTCCTGAATTGCACTTGCACTCTCTCTTGACGTCTCTTGTGAATATTGCTTTTTGTTGCTGATTAAAATTAGTTCTGTATTGTGCACCGTGCAATCGGGTGAATGATGTACACATTTCATTTCACCCCAAAATCATAAAAAATAAGATTTTTTTTTTCACATAAGTAAAATATTAAGTAAAGCTTATTTGTAAAATGTTATTTTAATTTCTTTTATAATTTACATTATAACTGTGAACTGTTACACTATAACTGTGAACAATGTCCCTTCACATGTGGCTGCACTTAAGCAGCAGTAAAAAAAAAAAAATTATATATATATATATTTATTATA